GCCTGGCAAGGGTCCTGGGAGGCTCCCTTGGACCCTTGCCACGCTCCCTCCCACCCCCCCATGGGGCCAGGGGGGGTAAAATCTCCAGCTGCTGGGAGTGTTTGGAGGCTCCCCAAGCTTCCAAACACTCCCAGAACCTGGCGATTTCGCCAGGGCTGGCCCCGTGGGGGGGGGAGCCTGGCAAGGGGCCTGGGAGGCTCCCTTGGACCCTTGCCACGCTCCCTCCCACCCCCCCATGGGGCCAGGGGGGGTAAAATCTCCAGCTGCTGGGAGTGTTTGGAGGCTCCCCAAGCTTCCAAACACTCCCAGGACCTGGCGATTTCGCCAGGGCTGGCCCCGTGGGGGGGGGAGCCTGGCAAGGGTCCTGGGAGGCTCCCTTGGACCCTTGCGACGCTCCCCCCACCTGGAAGCTGGCGATTTCACCGGCGCTGGTCCCGTGGGGGTTGGGGGAGCCTTGCAAGGGTCCTGGAAGGCTCACCCGGACCCTTGCGACGCTCCCCCCCACGGGGCAAGCAGTGACGAAATTGTGCCTTTGTTCCATTAGACGCACGGACTTCCTGCCCCACATTTTGGGAGGGAAAAAGTGCGTCTTATGGAGCAAAAAATACGGTAATTTTGAAATTTAACCCCAGATATCAAAACCCTTTAACTTGTTCTAGAACATTAGTCTGTAGTTTCCAGTGGAAATTCTTCCAAACCTTGGAGAAAACCATAACTTTAGATATTGAAAAATTAATGGACAGCAAATTGGCATCACAGTAGGCTGCAAAAAGCATCGGTAGACACTTTAGGGCCAGTTGGATTACAGATAAAACTGCATCAACTGCATGTAGTAATAGTAGGATTTGTTGAGAATCAAATTTTAGAAATTAACGCTTGGCCATCCTCAAGGTAGGGGCCAGATAGTTTATAAACAAGTCAAAAAGATAAGGAGACAGAATGCATCCTTGTTTAATCCTTCTGTAACTCATTATCTCCTTTAACAATTTGCCCTGTGGACCATAACAGACCTGATAGCTAGTATGAACATATAACTTTTATATAAGAAACCAGAATTTCTTATCCAAATAGATCTTACCCAATTTATCCCACAATAGTTTCCTGGGAATAGAATAAAATACACCTTTCAAATCAAGGAAAGCTGGGAACAATTTCCTCCCACCTGAATTACTATATTTCTCTGCTTAATGAGCTGGAATCATGAAAATAATCTAATGTGAATCTATCAGGTAAGAAACCAGTTTGGTCCACTCCTAAAATTCTTTGGGTTTCCATCCAAGCTTGTCAGGTAATACTTTATTTGGACCAAATATTCCATAGTACAGTGCAAGCTCTCAAATTCTCTATAACTCTTAAATTTAGAAGTTTAAAATGTATGTGGATGGCAGGAGGATAGAAGTCCAAAAATTTGACTAGATATTTTAACCATCTGCAGTTGTTTTGGATCTCCAGTTAAACTTGGTCACAAGATGAAGAATGCAGGCTTAACATGTCATTCATAGGTATATAGGTATCAGATTGCATGTAGCAGTGGCTGCTGAGGAGGAAAGAAAATAGTCCCCATGCCTGAAAAGGTCAAATGTCTAGATTTCCATGTTTCTTTATTCCCAACTGAAGAGTTGGGAGAACTTGAGAGCTTACCTAGTACTATGGAATGGTATTGCCTGCCTATGCACTGTGGATGCGGTTTTATTCACGTGGCCCAACATGGCTACCTCTGTGTTTACCATTATAGTTTTAATCTTCCTTGTCCTTGAAATAATCAATTTCCTTTTTCACTGTCAAAAAATAAAAGGGAAATAATTCATAGGCAGCTGCAGTTCTTCTGGTTTTAATCTCCTTCCCCAAATGTTATTCTTGATAGTGCATTGGGACAATACCTGTGGATCAACTATTCCTGTGGAGACAATAAATATTCTCTACAGATCATTTCTCCTCTTCAGAAGAGCTGTTTTTCACTTGAGGAAAGGAAAGGGAAAGTTAAAGTGCTCTTCTACTCGTATGATGAGTAAACACACAAAATATACTGTTTACAGCGCCTTAATTTCATATGTTCCAAATACATTGAAATTCTTCATATATTTTAGGTTGGATCTCATTCCTATCAATAGATCTGTTGGCTTAAAGGCTAAGCCTACCAAACCGGTAACAGAAGTCCTACGGCCAGTGGTTGCAAAATATGGTTTAAATCTTAATAATCTTGTGGCAAGACTAGTAAGTAATTCATTAAAACAAATTAAATTTTAATTATATGGTAATTATATGGCTACGGTTAGGTGTCTTTGCAAAGATGGTATTGAAGTAAGATTAATACATAAAAGTGTTACTTTATTCTGAATTTTTTACACTATATACTTACTACAATGTCACAATACAAAGATTTTTTAATAACTTTATTTTGGACTCGCTTTAGTTCTTTCAGGTAGTTGCTTTCAAGGCTTTGCATGCATATGTTTAATTCCATCAGTAATTACTGCATTCTAAAGAAATGAGCAGAGTTAGACAACTTGGTGCTCCCCATGTATTTTAAACTTCATTTTTCAGAATTTCTGACCATTGGCCATGCTGGCTAGAACCTTTAAGACTTGTAGTACACAATATGTGAAGGGCAGTAGTCTATCTACTCCTACACAAGTAAGGACACAGAGTAGTAATTCAAAGCAAACTGAGAGAAGTGTGAACAGATTTCTGTGCACATGGAAAAATGCAGAAACCATCCTAGCATATATGTTATATCTCGTGTTTCCCTGAAAATAAGACAGGGTCTTATATTAATTTTTGTTCCAAAAAACTCATTAGGGCTTATTTTCAGGAGATGTTTTACTTTTTTCATGTACAACAACCTACGTTTATTCAAATACAGTCCTGTCATCTTCTTATGGTTGCTCCACAATGGTGGAGGGTGGGGTTTCACTTAACTGGGGCTTATTTTTGGGGTAGGGCTCATATTATGGGCATCCTGAAAAATTATACCAGGTCTTATTTTCAGGTTAGGTCTTATTTTCGGGGAAACAGAGTATTATCAAGTCTCTCCCAACATGGTGAACCTAATAGGTTTGGTTTTGTTTTTGAGGTGTGCGAGATGTGTAAGGATTCAAATACTCTGCCCAGTGGCTCTCAGCAAGTTTTGCCCTGGTAAAATTAAATACAAGAGGTCTTGCAATGTTTTTAAAAGATGCTACAGTGTAGATTTTGGCAAGAGGTGAGAAACAGTCTAACAAAATCAGAGACTGGAGAAGGTAACTCTTGTGCCTTTGCCCTCTGCACATGGCACTGAAACAACTTTGTTAGGTTTACTTCCTTGCATTAAAGATTATAATGGTTCCAAAGGTATATTTGTCTTTCCAAACAGTCCACATTCGTTTTAAATCTCATGTATGAGTGTCATGAGAAATCAAGAAGCGCATACAGCCAAATCACCTTTTGATTATTTCTGTGGAGCGTATCTCACTCCTGAAGGACTAGCTGATTTAAACAGCAGCCTTTCTACCTCAGGAGTGGGAGTTGCTACAAAGAAGACAACAAAATAAGTTCTTACTTCCTACTTTATGTCGTTTCTCATGCATACATTGGAAGCTGAGATCAAAAAAACAGGAAAAACAAAGAAAGAATGTAAATCTTCAGTATTGGAGGGGGCATTGCATTCCTATTCCAGTCAATGAGATTTGTTAGACAGGGACCTGTTCTAAGCAAGAGGGTCTATGCACAGGTTTGGATTCCAGGAAAGCAAGCTAGGTAGCATTGAGTAAAATAAGGTTGAAGCCCCGCCAAAGTCAAATCTTTTCAAATCATGTTAATAATCACTGATGGTTGCAAACCAGCATTCTAAAATATCTTTCTAAATTTAATCTCTGAAGATGAAATACTTTTTAGTGATTATAGATTAAGTTTTGAATTCACATGTGCTCCGGGGCCAAAATCACAGAGCTAAATCCAATGTCAAGATTCCCAAAATGTGGGAACAAACTTAATTTGAAACTAACTTAGGTTCCAGGGATTTCAGAAACTACTCTAGCCCATAACCCAGCACTGAAATTTGTCCATAGTAAGCTGGCAGGATAGTTCAGTGGTTTAGGTATCTGGCTGCAGATCCAGAGATTGGGAGTTCACTTCCCCACTATGCTTCCTATAAGTAGGGGAAGAGGGGAATGGTATACCACCTCTGAACATTCTCTGCTTGGAAAATCCTTAACTGGGTTGCCAAAACTCAAAATTGACTTGACAGTACATGATTATCATTTTAACTCTGAGCTCCATTTTATTTTCAATAAAAATGTAACACTAAAAAGAAGATTCTCTTGTGTCTGTATAATCCTTAAAAATCTGCTGCTTTAAAACAAGACAATTCGGTCTTTGGCATTCTTCTGGTAACTTCACAAATTTGTTTGTTTCTTTGTTTCTCTGTTTATTTGTTTGTTTCTTTGTTTGCTGCCTTTCTCCCTATAGGGAATCCAAGGTGATGCACAACAACTAAAATTATACAGTAGTAACGGGTTTAAAGTACTGTACAAAAACTATATTAAAAAACTATATTAATATTTTATTTTAATCAAGGTTAAAAATAAGATTAAAAACAATTTTAAAAACCTTTCAAAATATTTAAAGATATCTACATTTATTAAAATAGCATTCCCTAGACCTCCACTTTTTGCTTAAAAGTCTGCCTGAAAAGGAAGGTTTTTGCATGATGACAGAAGGTCAAGAGGAAGGGAGCCAATCTGCTTCTTGGAGTAGCACGTTACAAAGCCTGGGAGCAGCCACTGAGAGGGCCCTCTCTTGTGTCCTCACCAAACAAGCTTGGAAAGGTGGTGGAAACTGAAAGTCCCCAAAAGATCTTAAAAGCCAAGAAGGCTCATATGAGATGACACGATCCTTCAAATAGCCTGGACCCAATAAGTATAGGGCTTTATAAGTAAAAAAACACAACACTTTGAATTGAAATTATTTCATACCTATCCTTTGAGATAATTGCTCCATATAATTTTTTTTGTCGGATATAAATAGTGACATATATAGCAGAGAACTAACAAACATTTTAAGCCAAATGTTTGAAAGCATCTGAAGAAAAGCTCTCTTGGATGTTGGCTGTGGTAAAAAAAAAACTGTCCGGCAGATACTGTAATGCCATTCAGGCATATTGGTGATACAGTTAATCATCAGGCGGAAGTCTTTAGGGTTTTCCATGACTTGATGCTTCTACATGCGAGCAGTTCTCAGCCTAAGATTTGACGCCATCCATAGAGACCTTGACTCTGTTAGCACAGCAGTAAGTCATACTGAGATGTTCAGCACCCTGTCTTGTCCAGTTGTACTGGATCAATTTCATCCTATGATGCCAGATGACATGAACTGGTAATGTGCACACTCCAAGGCCACAATGTCTCATCCAGACCCATGTCCCTCTTGGTTTTAACATCAGTCAGAGAGGTGACAGTTGAGTGGGCTACATAGATCATAAATTCCTCCTTGCAGGAGGGCTATATACCCACCTGCTTGAAGGAGACAATGATGCAGCCCATTCTGCTGACTGTTGACCTGTCAATAACATACAGTTAATGGAGAAACTGATCAAGCGGATTGTGGCCAACCAGCTACAGGAGTTCTTGGAGGACACCAGTAGTCTACATCCATTTCAATCAGGGTTCAGGCCTCTCCATGGGACTAAGACAGTTTTGGTTGCCCTGCTAGATGACCTTGTGCAGGAGGCCAACTGGGGAAGTGTGACCCTGCTGGTCTCCTGGATCTCTCAGCAACCTTTGATTACCATGGTATCATTCTGAACTGTCAAGATTGGGGATTGGAGGCACAGCATTGTGCTGGCTTTGGTCCTTTCTTGACAACTGGTGTCAGATGGTTCAACCTGGGGGTGCTGTTTCATCCCCATGGGTTCTACAATGTGGTGTCCCATAGGGGTTGATCTCCCCATTGCTGTTTAACATCTATATGAGGTTGCTGGGGAAGGTCATTTGGAGATTTGGAGTGCATTGTCATCAGTATGCTGATGACACATAACTCTATGCTCCTTTTCATCTTCTGCAGAGGAAGCTAATGAGACCCAGGTGTGTTGCCTGGCTGTGGTTATGGACAGGACAAGGGCTAACAGGCTGAAATTGAATCTTGGTAAGATAGAGAAAATCTTGCCCATTCCTAATTTCAATTACGTGATTATTGATGACCCAATGGCAGTTGCCTGACTGACACTGTTTCTGCCACCATCTTTTGGGTTCATCTATAAATATTTGAGTTCAGGGAGAGGTGTTTTTTTATTGTTGTTTTTATTTATCCTCATTGTTGTATTTTATGTTGACATTTGCCTTTGTTTGTAATGCTGCCCAGAATAGTGACTTGGCCACTAGGTGGGTGGGGTAAAAATTTAATAAAAGAAATAATTAATTCCACTTTCCTCTGTTGCTCTAGTAAAAGTGTGCTATTTCCAAGCTTTTTCCAGTACATATTTTCTGTTGTATCCCAACTTGGCTACAGAATGGTGAACATGAACCTTTAGACCTTGGTGTTCCTATCTCTAATCTAGATGGACAGCGGGTTATTCTAGAAGAAAAGCAGCCAAAAAAAGGAAGAGGTAAGTGATAGTAAATATGTATTAGTTTTGATAAGCCTAATGTATCTTTTCTTTCTAGAAATACAATAATTGAAAGTAAATTCAAAATTCAGTCAGGATTGATAAATGACATTTTGTATGGAGGTTGGTGCTCTGTAAAATGAGTTTATTTATTTGACATTTGAAAGCATTTTATAGAGTTGTGTTGAGGATCAGTATTTTGATGGCTGAAGAACAGGATGAGGGGTGAGGGTATGTCTTGGCAACATTGGCATGATATTGAGGAATTAGGTACTGTTAGACTAAGTGTTGTGGGCATAGGGCGTGTAGAAAAATTAACTGTTTCAGGAAAAGGGACTTCAGACAACTGAAAACTATTCATCTTTCTAATAGTATTCGCTACCAAGAATACACAGGATGTCCCAATGGTCCTAGGTGAGCATTCTAGTTTGGCATATATGCCAGAGCTGTCTAGCAAGAAGAGACGATAGATCCAGAATGTAAAAAAAGGTATTGGTATTTTTATTCAAAGATAAGATCCGAACACGTTTCGGCTAATACACTTCAGCCTTCTTCAGCGGCTATAATGTAACAGATAAAACAGAAAAAGCTTACCTGTTACAAACTATAACAATTACATTACTGTATTAATGCTTGTATAAAATGTTTTAAATTTTAAAATAATGTGTATATGTTGTCCCTTGTAAGTAAGAAGCTCACATATGTGCTTTTTCTGTTTTATCTATTACATTATAGCCCCTGAAGAAGGCTGAAAGTGCATTAGCCGAAACACATTGGACTCTTATCTTTGAATAAAAATACTGATACATTTTTTAACAACCTGGGACCATCATCTCTCCTTGCTAGACAGCTTCAGTGGATATACCAGTCCTTTTTGTTCCATTTTAACTACTGCATATATGACAGAGACCTGCTTGGATAAGATGGGAGGGTTAATACCTCACCTTTTCCCATCGGGTGGGCTGTTGACAATAATATTAGAGATAACATAAACACCCTGACACTAGGTGAATCACTAGCATATTGTTCCTGCGGGTTCATCTGCACTTACTTAGCCTACTTGATCAAGTTCACCATTTTACATGTTTCAAATGTTTTTTTTAATAATGCGAATATAAACTTCATTCTCCTAGTTTTTGTTGTTTATACCAGTACATTTTAATTAATCTTTGGTTTTTTAATTACCATTACAAAATTTATTAATTATATTTGCCAGTCTTTCAGATCTTCTAACAACTTTATTGGTACTATCGTAAATTTTTTAAAAATTAGGTAATTTTTCCTTTTACATATTGCTATCTTACCAAGCCATGATAATTCTGTTCTTCTTAACCTATTTAGTTTATCTTTAACATCGTGCTTCAATGTATCAACATATTCTTTTTTAAAAAATAATATTTTTTGTATTATTTATGCCTAAATACTTCATAGCTTTACATATTTTATCTCAAATTTCCTTCTAATTATTTCTTCCTCATCTTTAGCATAATTAAACAATATCATTTCTGACTTCTGCCAATTTATCTGTAGACCAGTCACCTCTTCAAATTCTTTCAGATGTAGTTTATCAAGGTCCATAACCCTCAATTGTTAATTACTGTTAATAATGATTTTTAATAATGAATGTCAATGATGTGTCATCCACAAAACTAATCTTAATCTTGTCTTCACTACCTATACCTTTTATTAATTTATCCTGCCTAATAGTGTTCGCTAATATCTCTAAAACTACTGCAAATAATATCGTGGAAAGGATCCCTGTTTAAGAGCTTGACCTAGGTCTATTTGATCTGTTAAGCCATCATTTACTAGTACTGTAGAAGTGTTTTCCGAGTAGAGTTGATTTACCACATTTTTAAAATGATTCTCGTATCCTGATATATCATCATTTTTAATATTGGCCATTCCACACAATCAGACACTTTGAATATATCCAATGCCATAACTTATGCTTTCTGCTTCTGCTTTCTCTTTTTGTTTATCAGTATTTTGTATTATGTTTAGTACTCTCCTAGTCAAATCTGCTGTTTGTCTCCCTACCATCAAATCACTAGCCTGATCATCTATACTAGAATAACTTTTACACACTAAAGAATAAAAAGTAAACTTCTTTTAATCTCCTTTCAGTTCTCTCCAAACATCTTTCATATCTGGTTGTTCTAGTTTTTTCGGGCTGTTTCACTTTGTTGTTTTTCCTACAAACAACCATCTGATCCCAGCCATTAAAGCCTTCAAGAATACATCTTTCATATCTGTTTTTCTTATCAGTTTATTTAATATTGTAATATTATTCTTTCTTTCACCCTTAGTAGTGTTTAATTTATCTTTATCCATTACTATATTAAAATCTCCTGCTATTATTACATATCCTTTCCTTGTACTTTCCAGTTCCTTGAATACCTCCACAAAAAATTAACGTGATTGTCATTTGGTGCATGTATGTTAACTAAAATACAATTTTCTCCTCTCGTTTGTCCTTGTAACATCAAAAATCTTCTTTTATCATCTTTCTTTAGCTTATTCAACTTAAATTCACATTTCTGAGAAATAACAGTTGTCACACCTCTTGACCTTGAATTCTCACACAATTTTTCATAAAATCCAGCCCCATATAGTTTTAGTTAATTTGCTCCTTTTTGTTTATGTGTTTCCTGTAGAAAAACAATATTTGCTTTATTTTTTGTGGGGGAATGTCCCTCCCCAAAGTTGCTAAACTGTTGGCTTAATCTACAGTAGTAGGGCAAACCCTCCTGGATGACGTCACAGCTGCTTCTTGGAGGGGCTACTGCCCATTCTTCTTCTTTGTTATATTGAAGAAAAGGAAGGCTAGGAGTAGTATACGGTTCATTCAGAACTATTAAAAAAGCAGATTTCAGAAGGTTTTTAAAAATGCTGGATGAGATCAGAAGTCAGAAATACTGAAAGAGAAGAGAATTTACTCTGGATAGGAATTTTTTAAAGGTGAGGTCCTGAAGTCTCAGTCAATTCCTGTGGAAAAAAAAGATTGGGAGTTAAAGGGGGCATAAATAGGCATAAATAGAAAATGGAAGTAGAAGGAAATCACCAAGGAAAAGTACAAATGAGTACACAGTATTTGTAGAAGCAAACAAAAAGTGTGCTGCTTATATATCACCCCATAGTGCTCAAAGCACTCTCTGGGCAGTTTATAATTTTTAAATTATACAGGCTACACATTCCCCGCCCACCCCCAGCAAGCTGGGTACCCATTTTACTGACCTAAGAAGGACGGAAGGCTGAGTGAACCTTGAGCTGGCTGTCAAATCCTTTAGTACAGTGGTCCCCAGGCTGTGGACCGCTGCTGGGTCACGGACTGGCGGTTGGAGACCCCTGCTTTAGTATCAACACTGACCATGAGCAGCATTTTGGCTGCAATACTACAGCTTAACCATTGCACTACGAGGCTGTAGAGAGAAGGTTAGGAAGGCTGAAATGCAGAAGGAGGTCAGATTCATGACATTAGAAATAACAAAAAGGATTTTTTTTCAGCTATGCAGAAATCAGCCAGAAGAACAAGGAAGCATGGAAAAGATGGAGCAATACTAGTTGACAAAGAGTGATGATACCAGTGTTAAATACCTACTTTGCCTCCATCATTTCCTGGAAAGAAAATGCTGTAATAGTGCAAAAAGAATAAAGGAATAGATGAGGGGGTGCTGCCTAAGATAGGAAAGGAGATGAAATGGGAACATGAAGTGAGCTGCATCCCAGAGTACTAAAGGAACTGGCAGATGTACATCTGGGTCTCTCTGCTTGTATTCTTTCAGAATTCTTGGAGAACAGATGAGGTGCCTGAACAGTGGGAACGGGCAAATGTCATCCCCATCTGCAAAAATGGGGGAAAGGGGAATCCAGAGAGATATCAGTGGGTCAACTGGACAATGATACAAAGACATTTTCTAACATATTAATTTATCAGCTTATTAAATATGCAGCTTTTGAGCACTTGGGGAGGAACACCACGGCATGGGTTTTTCAAAGACAGGTCTTATCAAACTAATCTCAGAGTTGGTAGTTAAAAGGAATAGTGTGGATATAGTGTTGTCTTGATTCACAAGTCTTTTGACAAAGGTTCCCCACAGAATTCCTGTGGACAAATTGATTAAATGTGGCCTAGGCAATACTGTTGTTAATTGCATTTGTAGCTAGTTGTCAGATCGTGTTTGGCCTGGAGAAGAGATAACTGGGAGGTAATCTGGTTACCATCTTCGAGTACGAACTTGAAGGGCAAAGTATCTGTGGAAGATAGAGCAAACCTGTGTCCTGCCACTCCGGAGGGCGTATAATGGTGTATTCAATTACAAGAAAGCAAATGTCAACTAAACATTAGGAGGAGCTTCCTGACAGTAATTGCTGTTCAGCAATGGAATGACCAATTTAGAAAGTGGTGGTCTCTTCATCAATTTAAGTTTTTTAAGCAGAGGTTGGATTGTTGTCTCTTTTGGATGTCTTAGGTGTGGATTTTCTGCCTCAGCTGAATATTAGACTTGATAAGTCTTTAGATCCCTTCCAGCTCTACTATGATTCTGCAGAATTGTTGAATTAGGGTTATTAACATCTTAATTGAATCATTGGTTATGAAACAAGGGACCATTGATCCCTAATCACAAATTTTGATGAGGTCTATCAAAAATGATATTTGTTCAATCTCACATTTATTTTCTAGACACACCACATATTTTGTAATGCATATGTTATCTGGGGTGATGGGTCCAACGTGTATAAAAACTGTGAAGTTGAGGAAAATTATCTGTCCTAAAACATAAGCTCTCATCTAGCCATCCCAAGGAAACAGATAGCCATTCACCAATAACAGCCAGTAATTCTGTAATCATTTTACATAAATTTGCTAGCACAACACAATGGAAGCTTTTGATGAAAGTATAGTGGGTGTTAAGAAAACTCTCAGGATGCAGGCATATTATCTTACACCACTATTAATTTCTTGGCAACCAGTTTTCTACCATACCCCCCATGTGGCAGCATACAACTGAAAACTACTAGCTTCCAGTCTCCCATTGATAAATTAGGTTAAGAAATGCTTACAGAAGTTTGCATTTGGAGAAAAGCCAACATCTGACCCAAGTGAAAACTGAGATTATTTGCATGCCCTTCCACCAGATTATATCTACTCTATAGTTTACAGTAGCTCAGTTATTGTACAATAGTCTTGTTGACAGCAAAGAACAAAGTCCTGTGAGACTTTTGACATATGTATTACAGGGGGAAAGACCATTGTATTTTTAATATAATTATTAATATTGTCAACATCAACTTTGTCATTTACAGACCAGGGCAAGGGGACATCATTAAAGCATAGTCCAACAGGAACTTCTAATGCAGGAAATCAAGCATCCATAGTAAGTTGTCTTAAAATCACTTGTTACTCCAATTCTTCTCTAGCTGTGATGCAAAATTGGAAATTGTGATTGAAATGAATAACCTACACGTTTAATTGCCTTCATTGAGTATTTTTTAATAGTCTATGTTAGTTTGTATCCCTATGTGGGCTCTTCATTTTCTTGTTTTCACCAGTGCATCCCCATGAGTTATGTTTTTGCTTGTAATGTGTATTGTGTGATATACCCTGGACATTTGTTTCAAAAGGCCAAACTACATCTCAAATACAATTACATGCAATTCCCTCCCTTCCCCCCCCCCATGAAAACTAACAATTTGTGATGCTCCTGGAGCATCACAAAGGAAGAAAGGTATTTCCCGAGACATTTTCCAAATTGTTCACAGCCTTTTTTTTCTCCAGAGGGCTGGAAAATGACTAGAAGGGAAGCTGGGTACATAACCCTCACCTCACCTGGCCAGTATTGTGTTGAAAGTTATACAGTGGACCCTTGACTTACAGACGGCTTGACTTACAGACTTTTTGAGTTACAGACTTCTCTGGCCGCAAAATTTAGGTTTGACTTGCAGACTGAGATTTGACTTACAGACCAGAAAAAAACCAAAATGGAACAAAAACGGCGTGTTACGGGATTAATCGGTTTTCAATGCACTGTAGGTCAATGGAGACGTGACTTACAGACTTTTTGACTTGAGAACCGCCTTCCAATACGGATTAAGTTCTCAAGTCAAGACCGCACTGTACTACAGCTTTTATGAGAGTAAAACTGATGATTTTCCTGTAATATTAGAGGGGTTCAGCTAAATCAATCAATCAAATAGTCAATCTAAAAATAACTAGCCAAACCCTAGTTTCAACCTTCAGGTGCCCACCTTCAGTCGCAGAGAAGTATTTGAGACCCAGCAGGGTACTTGAAGAATAGGTTGTTTGAATTACCCTGTTTCCCTGAAAATAAGACCTAACCTGAAAATAAGGCCTAGTATGATTTTTCAGGATGCTCATAAAATAAGCCCTACCCCAAAAATAAGCCCCAGTTAAGTGAAACCCCACCCTCCACCATTGTGCAGCAACCAGAAGATGACATGATTGTATTTGAATAAATGTAGATTGTTGTACATGAAAAAAATAAAACATCCCCTGAAAAGAAGGCCTAATGCATTTTTTGGAGCAAAACTTAATGTAAGACCCTATCTTATTTTTGGGGAAACACAGTATTTCCAAGGGAGTAAAAATGAGTAAGGGTCCAGTTGTGCACAATAGAGAAGATGACTGAGAGATTTGGCCTGGAGCAGTTTTAATGTAGCTGAAATATAATGCCCCCGATGCAAAATACTACTTTGCGAATACAAAATACTACTGCTACTGCTGCTGCTGCTGCTGCTGCTGCTGCTACTACTACTACTACTACTACTACTACTAATAATAAAGTATTGCAGAAGCAGATCTCTTTGGTGATTGGACTACATATTCTGCATGTGCCTTACAAGTCCATTTGAAGGGCAGCATCAAGATGCTTAAATGCCCTTGTTTGCTTAATCTTACAGCCATTTATGGACCATTTATAGAGTTTTGATCTTTTTGGAAGCAGCATAACCTTAGTTTTCTTATAGTTTATTTGGAGGCTTTCCTCTCAATTATAATATACCAGGACACACAGTGCTGTCTTTAAGCCAATGGATATCTGTGACAGTAATGCTGCATCATATATGTATGTATGACAACACTGATGGTTGTCCTCAGAGGGTGGAAATCTGGTTTACTGAGAGCCAGAACCAATGAGTTAATGTAAAAACTAAATAATAATGGGACTAATATACAAACTTGTTTAACTCCTTTATATGTAGGAACTTTACTAGACAGGTGACCCTCCAAATTTATATTTATTTAGTTTTAGTGAACAGCAGTGATCTTCTAAGCAGGAAACACATCCAGTACTAACTATACCACTAGGAGGTTTTTAGTCATTTTATTTTTATGTTTATAGAGTGATCATAACACATTTCATGTATTTATGATTTGTTTGTATTTTGGATATTCGTCATTGGCCAGAAAAAGCATCTATCTCTATATCTGTCTTATGGGAAATAGTATTGGGGAAAAGTTGCATTCAACTGCATATATATAGATATATAGTTTGTGGGGTTTTTTAAATTGTTGGTATGTAGATACAACTTTCTGGTTTGTACATGTAATTCCTTCTTGTGTTCATTAAAGATAATTGTTAATTTCAGCTTGGTTCACAAATCAAATGTTATTAAAATAATTTGTAATATTATGTAAATGTAAGTAGCCATTTAACTTTCCTTCTAATACAGGGAGAGGGAAGAGCTCTAGGAAAGTCTAATTCTATTAAAATAAGAGGAGAAAGTGGAAAAAACTCTAGGGATGTCCGTCTAGCAAAAAGAGAAGACTATATTGCACAGACTGGGGGAAAAAAGTGTCACAAAATTAATTTGGACGAAGCAGAGGGTATGTCACTTTTTTTAGTATATGCAGTAGTATTAGTTTTTGAGATGAACATAGCCTTTATGTAAACAGTTGCATTAATTTATTTTATTATTGCAGAAAACAGAGCTGAATTACACATTTCAGGAATATGTTGATGTTCCTACTAAATAAATCTAATCCACTTTGGAATTGCTTGTACTGGTAGATGAAAGTATTTGGAATGTATGTGAAAGAAATTAAAAACCCAAACAAAAGCTAAAGGCGGGAGAGGGGAGTTGATTTTATTTATTCACATTTCTCCCCAATTTCTTTGGTGTATATAAACCTCTTTACAATGGTACTGATATACAGAATATTTTTCTTCTGTGTTTATCTGCTAGTTGGCAGCACAGCTCCTTGCACAATCTTTAGGGTTATATAAATCCACCCTTACAGAAATCCAGAAAGATACTATAAATCAATTATGGACAATATCCAGAGACCTAGAGGCTGCACATGTCTGTCCCTGGACTCTGGAGGGCTGCTTCCAATGTTGTACACACCACACACATACACAAACAGAAATATTTTTCTCATTTTTTACTGAAAAGCTCTCCAGTGGTTACAGGAAGCAAGCTCACTTTTCTTGTTGCTCCTGAACCAAACTGGGCAAAATTCAGTTTTGAAAAAAGCAATTGTTGCTCCAAAACAGCTGGTACAGGGTAGAAAGTGGCAAAATTGCCTCCCCACCCGCCCCCCTAAAATACACAAGGCAACTGTCTGAGCCAAAAAAAGTGTTTAAGAAAAAATGGACTGGGGGCAACTGGGACAGAAGTGCTGGTATGTGAAGATGAGCCTTGGGGGGGGGTGTTTCATGCAGCCCATGGGCTCTCCTTTGCTCACCTATGCTATAAAACCTAAGCCATGGCAACATGCTTTCATGGTGTTTCAACAATGCAACCCAAGACTTGTTATCACAATTATTAATCTGTATCTGATCATCAAACTTGTTTTCAGACGAAGCCCACATAGGTGGCAGCAGATTCAATTGTAGCCACTCCTCATGAACATGCATCCATTCAAATAACTCAGTAGACCCACTAAGCAGCTCTGTAACATGATACGTGCAGAGAAACCCGCACCATCCCACTGTGATGTCTCTCATTGTAAGCTTACTAGGTGGAATGCAGCTGCATGGATGGGCTTCCTTTTCTCTTTCTAACACTTTTTTTCTCCCAAAAACGTTAAGTAGGACAACAGGGCTTCTCAGAGACATTCTTATAATACTTGTATGCCATCAGGTCATTTCTGACTTATGGTGACCCTTTGCAGGGTCTTCTAGGTACAGAGTTCTCAGAAGTGGTTTACCATTCCCTTCTTCTGGGGGCATCCTGGGACTGCAGTTAGTCCAAGGCCACACAGCCTGGCTCTTCTTGGATGCACAGCAGAGAAATAAACTCCCAACCTCCAACTCTGCATGCAGGGACCTAACTTACTCTGGAAAAGTAAAAAATGTTGGCCATGATTGGCATTTTCTTTGAAGTGTAGCCGGCTCCACTGTCTGAGTTTCTTTTTAAAAAAGTTAAGGATGCCAGCACTAGTTCTCCAGTGCTTTTGCTCCCTTCTCACAAGTGCGCTCTCTCGCGCTCTCTCTCTCTCTGTGTGTGTGTGTGTGTGGTGGTTATTTACTTACCTGTGAAAATGTGTTATTCTGAAGGTTGTTATTCTTAGCACAGTGTTGAGATGACGTTTAGAAGAGGGAGACCGGTTTGAGGAAGAACCAGGTAGCTCCTACTTTTGCTTTTTTTTTTACGCAAGCTCCCTTCATCAGAAATCTCTTGCGAGAAAAGGGCAAAGGAGTTCACCCTCCATGCCTCACTGCTGTGACTTCTGCAGTATCTTATATAGATCTTTCCTTGCATATTCATCACATGCCGAGTCTTTATGTAGTCTGTGGATCCAGGTGTAAACTTCTGAAGGCTGTTTCCATCTGACCACTAGGCAGAATGAGATGTCCACTTCAGGCACTGCATGCTTTGCAACAGCAGCAGCCACACACTCTCAGCTACTTCTTTGTTCTTACTTGCTTTTGTTTTTACTGTCCACCTGAGACAACACCCTGTGGCAATGCTTGTTTGTTGTTAGGCTGAGTTGACTGGCAGTCTCACCGGTGCTCCTTCTACAGTACATGGCCAAAAGTGGGAGTGAAGATGTCCTGTGACTGAGGAAGCAGGCTCAGAGACCGCTAGCCCAGGCCACACATTCCAAAAAGCATGGCTCTGCTCATATGGAACACACTGGCGGCACCACTGCTGTTCTGTAACATTTATTGTAGCATCTGGTTAATATTCAGAAGGATCTGTGAGGTGTTGGATGTTAAGAGTGTGTATGAATCAACCATGTGCCACCCCAAACAATCTTGCTGGTCTCTTGTTTGATGGAGAGGGAAGTCACCATGTGGAAGCAGTAGCCCAATGGAGATCTCTGGCCTGCAGAACTCATACTACTGCTACTGTTAGCAGCAACTGCAGGGTTGTACTATGGAAATAACACAGCTGAAAACTTAGGTATAAATATAGTGGTGCCCCGCATAGCGACGATAATCCATTCCGTATAAATCGTTGCTAGCTGGATTTGTCGCTATATGGGGCAAAAAACCCCTGTTTAATGCGTTCCTATGGGGGGAAAACTCACCGTTATGTGAAGATCCTCCATAGGGGCGGCCATTTTCGGTGCCTCTAAAGCGAGGCAACATAGAAGGCGGCCATTTTGGAACTGCCGATCAGCTGTGTGAAAATGGGGCCTTTGGGAGGACTGCAGGGGAGGGAACCCTCCCCAGCGGTCCTTCCTAAGCCACCGCCTGCATTTTCCCCCAGCTGAGCGGCGGTGGCTTCGGAAGCTCCTGCCGCTCAGCTGGGGGGAAAAGCCGGCTAGGTTGGGTGGCGGGTGAGCGAGGGCTCGGGAGGAGGGCCGCTGGAACACCAGGGCCTTGCCATGATTCCTGGCTCTTCCTGAGCCATCCCTCACCCCCGTCTCCGCTGCCGCCGCCGGGAGAAGCACTGCCAGAACACCCGGGCCTTGCCCTGCCTCCCGGCTCTCCCTGAGCCACCCCTCACCCCTGTCTCTGCCGCTGACAGGCGGGCATTTGGGCTGCTCATGGCGAAGCGCTTCTCTGGGAGCAGCCCAAAGGCCTGCCCGTCAGCTGCTCCAAAAAGTGAGCCTTTGGGCTGCTCGCAGAGAAGCGCTTCTCCGAGAGCAGCCCAAGGGCTTGCCTTTTGGAACAGCTGATGGGCGGGCCTTTGTGATGATCATGCGGGAGTGCTCCCCCGCGATAATCACAAAGTGAATTTTCCCCATAGGGGCCATCGCAAAGCGATCGCTCTTGCGATGGCAAAAAGTCCATCGCAAAGCGATTTCATCGCTAAACGGAGCGATCGCTATGCGAGGCACCATTGTAGCTGTTTGGATTTCATCGCTAAATGGAGCGATCACTATATGAGGCACCACTGTAGCTGTTTTCTGGTGAAATATAAAGTCAAAGATATTGCATATTTCCATTCTGTTATGTATGATGTGTGTATGTCGTTTCTGTGTTTCATAGGAAACATCTAGTTTGAGGATAACAGCTATTTTGGGGGGAGTTTCCAGTTTCTTTAACAGATCACTGTAGAATATTTGTCTAAAGGTGTAGCCTTAACAAAAGGCTGCTCAGCTCCCTAAGGCCTTACTCTCCTTTACAAGATGAGTCCTTGTAATCCAGCACCCTGATAATATGTCTTTATCAAAATTTCTGTTTTGCAAGATGGAGGAGAATAACTACTCAGTAATCAAATGAGTAGAAACCCATTGTGAGTATATTTCTCGGAAGCCCCACAGAAGGCATTTTTTGCCTCAGAATGGTGTTTCATCCTAGGAAAAGGTGGTCAGAGCCCACTTCTAATTTTGCATTTCTATATGAGGAGCCATCTTAATTTCCCGACTAGCCCTGCTTAATGAACACAACTATTGGGTTGGCAGGAACTATTAAGAACCCACATCAGCTTAAATGTTTTAAGTTTCTTTCTCTCCTCATCTTTTCTCTCTCTAGCCTCTCCCCTTGCAAGCAACATCAAAGAAATGAGAGATGTTCCCCAAAGCAAAATATGTGCACATGAGGAGGGGAGATACATATTTTCAGCTTGTGAATATCTACACTAGAGAGGATCCACCAAAAGTGTCCCAGAGAAAAGCAGATCTGTAATAGCTTTAAAAATACCTCTGTTAGAAGCAAATCAAAATAAGTGACTAAAATCCATAGTAACCACAGGCAGTGACAAGATCATTTGACCTAAATAAATCTGTTCAAAGCACATCTCTGGGTTCACATCAGGCAAACCCCTGAAAGTATCTTAGTATTACAACTAGGTAAATTATGTTGCCCTTCTGCCTCACTTCTGCTCCTCAGATCTTTATGAGAGTTCTGGTCATAATAGTTACCTTAAGTCTTTCTGGGACAATGAGATAGTATTAACAAAACAGCCTTTTGCTAAGACTGTACCTTCAGACAAATATTTTATAGTTATCTGCTAAAGAAATACAGTACATTTGAAAGTGGTTAAAGAACTGTTGGTTCTTTGTAAATCCGGACATCTCCACTGTGGAACTTCTGACATTACTGGGCTATCACTTCAGACACTCTGCCGATTTGCTGTGCTGGCTTGGACTTCTGGAAGTTGTAATCCAGAAACATCTAAAGTGCTAAGATTGGGAATGACTTTCATAGAAATAGTTGCAGGGACATCCTGTGGACTGTGATGGAGTGTCTTATCCCAAAATTTGGTGAGGCAGCCCCTCCTCTATTCACCAACCATCCAGGGGCAGTGTATGTGTGCCTCCCTTTCTGAGTGACATCATCCGTGGACCTCCCAGACTTCATAATTTCTAAACACTTTTTTGAAAAAAGATAGCTCAGAGGATGGTTTGCTTCAGAGCGGTGTGCTATCCTCAGACATCTTCATATATGTGATCAGAAAATAGAAGTCATGGGCAGCTGGTGTGTTCAGCCATGTAGAAGAAAATGAAAAGGTAGGCTGAAGGTGATGATGAGTGTCTGAAGGGCTGGGAATGGGGTAATATCTTGTGAAGCAAGAAGAGATGGTACAGAGTGGAGGGGTGTTTTACCCGTGCTTTGGTTATGTTAAAGTACATGTCTATATGTGGTATGTTAGCTGGTTTGTTTACTTGTTTTCGAGTGGTGTGTGTTTTGCATGTGTGTATGTGTTTGTCTTAGACTTTCCAGATCACCTTCTGGAAGTGGGTATTTTCTTCTGTATTATGGGAACAAATATATGATTTGGCATATGGGGCCAGGTAATTATTTTCTTAATTAGAAATGGGTATTTGCTTGGACTATTTTCAGTCATGAATAGCTTATTAACTACTGATTCAACAATTTATAGTTTATTTAACCTATAAATAAAATTGCATATGATTTCACTATAAATGCACCTCCATCACTACTGAGAAGAGTGCCTAACTTTCGTTAGACAGGCAAGGAAGGTATAAAACTCCTCTAGGAGGAGATTGGAGGATTCTACAGCAGCTTCTGGAACTGAAAAAGTCACCCTTATCTGAAAAAGAAAATACACCCTTTTTGAATTCTCTGGTTTTACGCATCAGGACATAATAAAAATTATCTGGTCCTTAGCAGATCTGAAAGTTAAGTGCACCTCAGATGAACAAAAAGACTCCGCCACAGTGACATTTTACACTGTCTCATGAATTATTTAACAAAAACAAAGCCAAAATGAAGAAGCCATGTGTGAAAAACTGAGTACGCCCTTGGCATGACCCAGTCAAAGTCCAGACTTCTACCCAATTGTAATGTTGTGGCACGACCTGCAGAGAGCTGTGCATAAACAAATGCCCACAAACGTCAATAAACTGAAGAAGCATTGTAAAGAAGAGTGGGTCAACATTTCTCTACAATGAAGTGAGAGACTAATAAAGTCATATGGAAAATGATTACTTGACGTTAGTGCTGCTAAAGGAGGTTCTACAAGCTGTTGAATCATAAGAGGTACTTAGTTTTTTTTACATATGGCTTCTCCATCTTGGCTTTATTTTTGTAAAAGAAATCATGACACTGTGTTATATGTCATGTGTTCTTCATCTGTTTACCTAATTTTCAGGCCTGCTAAGGACCAGATGATTTTTATTATGTCCTCATACATAAAACCATAGAATTCAAAGAAGGTGTACTTTCTTTTTCACATGACTGTATATAGTGCCTGGTTTTATTGTGTCTAGGCAGTGTGTCTAGAGTTGCAGCTCAGTATACTTATAATATAGAAAGATATGTTTCAGTTACATGGAATGCCTTGCACTCTCAATAACAAAACTAAGAAGCACACACAATACATAGCCAGACTGCCATAGTACCGTTCTCTTAATGAACCCAGCTCAAAGCAGGCAACATTTCGTCCTCTGTTACGCGGCTTGTTGTTATGCATTGTTATGTCACTTCTGACTTTTATTTATTTATTTATTTATTCAATTATGAATTATGGCAACTGTATGAATTAGTGACCTCCAAAAATATCTATTGTTTCAAAATTTCATGACAATACACTATTGGTGCTTACATGCATATATTGCCAGTAAATAACTCTTTCTATTAAATAACCCAAATTGAAGGAACGTCAGGCAATTTAGCAGTACCATCATGATAATTCTGTGTGCTGACAGGACCTGCAACACTAATCATACAGATTTTTCTGGGACAAGTGTTCGAAAGCCACTGGTGATTCTCACTCTCTCTCTTCCTCTCTCCCTACGTAAGGGATATCTTCATTCAGCACAACAGGAATAACCAAGCCACTTGTGAGTTTAGAGGGGGCTGTCATCACTGTAGTTCAAGATCACAGAGTGAGACATATCAAAGGGATCTATTTTTAATATGCTAATACTTTAGCAGTTCTGTGCATTTGGAAGACTGTACAACTGACACCAGTTGAGCAGGAGTCATTTATGCCATAACTTTTGGTGCCGTGGTTCACCTGCATTTCACAAAAGGAGGACTGTGGGGGAGTGCAAAGCAGCTTGGGGGCTGCTAGTCCACCAGTTCTGTGTATCTCACTCCTCAGTTAGCTAATATGTGCTTGACAATATTGAAAAGGAAAGGAGAAGGACATGGAAGTCAATTGACATGTTTCTACTAAAAGGGTTTCCCCCCCTCCCCCAAGTTACCTGTGGCAGAAGGCTGTCTCATTCTTGCCTTATATAATTCCAAGTAAGGGAAATGCTGTCTTTCCTACAAGGTACTACAAATGACAAATGTAGAATGAAAAACTGGTATGTCAAGAAAACTCAAATATATACAGCCATTTAAACATCTGGGGTTCCAAGATTACTGTTGTCTTTTAACTCACATTAACTGGGATAATGACATGTTGGATAAAGTGCAAGATAGTTTCTAGCTCCAATGAAAATCCCAGTGTCACATGACTAAAAGAGTGGTTGTGCAGAACCAAGGATGTTTCACCTGAACACCCAGAATAATGTTTTTTTTTTAAAAAGGCAAAATAAAAATAAAATAAAATGAAACTAAATTTACATTTGTGTACTTGGGGGTAATCTCTTTATCGAATTGAATTCCAATATCACCCCAGAAGAAGTAAGTGTATATTCTTCTCTCGCAAGGCCAGTCTTTGAAAACCAAAGCAAATCATTTTGTTGTATCACTGGAGGACTGTGCATGGCAAATGGTTGAAATTTGGAGAAATTGTTTAGTTGTGTGACGGTCAAAATATATACATTGACCTACATTATAGGCTTACTTCTGTGTGGATTGTACAAGAGAAAAGTGAAATTCTAGCATATGAAACTTAAGGTTACTTGTATTTACTTATATCATTTACAATACAGTAGAAGGAGTTTCTGATAAATGTATGAAATCTTGTTGCTCTTTTTTCAATGTTGTCAATAAATAACGGGAAGTAAAATGTATGCTTCTGACAAACATTAGTAAATAATAATGTGGTGTCATTGAATTTGAAACCTTAACTAAATAAGGTTATGTTGGGTTTTTTGCAACAGAATTTTTTGACCTCATATCCAAAGTACAAAGTAACAGAGCAGATGACCAGCGGGGACTGCTGAGGAAAGAAGACCTTGTGTTGCCAGATTTTCTTCATTTACCGCCTTCTGGGACAGACCTGTTTTCCTCTACGCCTGAAGGATCTAAAAGCTGCAGCAAGAGACTTGCGCATCCTGATGTCAAGTGTACACAACCTAGTGGCAAAATGGATTTCATCCAAAACAACAGTGAAGGCTCAGCTGTGAAAATTAATCTTTCAAAAAATAAACAGAAAACAGCTGCTCCGGCCACTTTTGTCAGCCAGAAGACTTCCAGTGGTCCATCGAGCAGCCCATTGTCTCCAGTTCTACCTTTGCAAGAGACCACTGTAAGGAAGAGGCAGTCAAAAGAACTGGAAAGTGAATTTGTGCAAACTATTGAGGATGAGAATATAGCAGAGTTGACTCTTATGGCCGAAGGGGACATTAATAGCCCAAACAGTACGTTACTGGCACCCACACCGCCCTCTTCAGACAAAAGCACTCTTGAAGAAGCCAAGCATCCACCTCCAGTTTTACTAACAGATAATCAGGAAAAACCTACCCATGAGAAATACAAATCAGGTATTTCCAAATTTTAATTGCCTTTCATATGTAGTGATTCCTCATTGCATTTGTTTCAATATTTATTGCCTCTATTCATATTGCAAATTTTATAAGATACAGAAGAATAACTGAGATCTGTTCCTATAGCAGGGGTAGGCCCAGTGTGGCCAGTGAGCTGTAGTTGGCTCGCAAAGGCTTTTGTGCACCCTTTCTTAGTTCACCCTGTTCCCCTAGCCAAATTTATTTTTCAGAGACAAAGCAGACTTTTCCTGCTTCCTTTACAGAGGATAGGCTGTCGCTCCCAAGTTGGCTCAGGCACTCAAAAATCCAAAAGTTGAACCTGAAAGTGGTTGCCGAGGCACTTCAAATTTTGTTCAGCTCCTCCCCCTCCCTTCCTGGGCTTGGTGCAGCCTGTAGTGACTACTAGGATGGAAAATTGGTCCCCACGCCCACTAAAAGATGTCCATCTGTGTTCTGGAAATGGGAAGAATTATTTTTTTCCTGCACTACAGCTCCCAGAACACAAGTCAGGGTGGAAATGGGCCATGTTGTAGGGCAGTGGGCATTATTTTGAAATTTGCCACCCAAAAATCACCTGGTTTAGCAAATATTCTGGCCTACATAGTCTTGTCTGTATCCCACTCTGGCTCCAGCCTGTTCATACTGCAGACAGTAATTAAGCACAAGACCAGGAAGATGCACCAGTCACTTATAAATCTGCATTCTTATGGTCTTATTTTGATGCACAAGTGCAAGAATTACAGCATGAGTTTTCCTTTTCCTTTGTGTGCTGTCATTGTTAGAACAGAAGGTTTATTACTTTTTATATGTTGAAAATAAATATTCTTTCATTTGAAAAGGCCAAGTAAAAAGGAGTGTTTCCAAGGAAACCTCAAGGAAACATTTTTTAAGTGTGGGCAGTATTTGTCATTATTGCCTCAGCATATACCATAATCAAGTTTGGACAAGGTGACCACTAGGTTCTCACAGCGCTTCTGAAAGGCACAGTTGTGTTCCTCCTCCAAAGCATGTAATGACAGTTCTGTATGGCCTTCACATCTGAACATACATGCAAATACAGTAGATACCCCCCCATATCCACTGTGGATAGGTTCCAAGTGTCACTGTATATCCTGAAAACCATGAATAATAGCAAACACTAGAGAGCGAGAGCGAGTATAAAGCATGATATAGCTTTTTTTAAAAAAATTCACATGCATTACCATAGACTATGCTATATATTCTTCCCTAGCAAATATTCATAGCATGATCTCTGACTCCCTCTAGTGGCTGGCTCTGGTAGTACATGTGAAATAGTTTTTTCTGGATCTTTTTCTATTAATATTTTTAATATTTTTAGACCATGGATAAGTGAAACCATGGATACTGATCCCATGGATATGAGAGTCTCACTGTATTTTTATATTTTCAGACTGTGAATAGTGAAACCGCAGATACTGATCCTGCAGATATGAGAGTCCTACTATACCACATAGGGATTACAAAGTAACTTCTATGGACAAGGAAATACCTTTGTTTGGGACATGTCTCCACATCACATCATAAAGGCAAATGCTACAAACAGAGGGGTAGAGACTGATTTAATATTGAGGCCTGAAGTATCAAAGTGTTAAGATGGAGAAAGGGAAGAGATGCAGACTGAAATGGATTAAGATGTACTAGAGTGACTTCCCTCTTTTCCAAAACAGCAATATCTAGTTTTACCAGATGTGTCCCCAGGGATTTTACTCAAATTTGTCCGTTCGATTCCTCACTAGACAGTCATAGAGTTTTATATATCATATATTTTATTATTGAAACTGCTTATTGATTTTTGATGAAGCAGGAGCTAATAAAATTGAATGCAAGTTGGCTAGTGTTGCCTAGTAGCTAAAGGGAAGACATTCTCCTCCCATTCCATCCTAATCATGCCTATAGGAAATATCTTGCCTGATGGAGCGGTGTGGAAATCTCCAAAGCTTGTGGAAAAAAATCTGCACATATTATCATGTATCTTTGGGGCAGACCCCCCCACCCCCATGAAGAAGTGATCCTCTGTGCACTCTGAATAGCATACAACAATCAGCTTGTTCAGCTAGATTCTCTGCCAGACTCCACAGAAAGCCTGTAACCCTTGTGTGGATAGCAGGAAGATGGTGGGATGGGGGAGGCAAAGAAACCCCCCTTCCTGGGTTTCCTAATGAGTACTGTGCACTTCAAGGCTTCTGCACTTTGCCTTCCATATATGGCCCCAAAGGGATGGCCTCATTTTTCCTTATTCCAGAAATGTGTCAATAACTTGTATGATACAAATACATGCAGTCTGATTGTTATTTTTCCTAATTGCTTATCCATACTTATTTTGGGATTTGCACGTGTCTGTTACATGCTAACAATAGCCAAACTATTCTGTCCTGCTACTCTGAAATCCTAGGGAAAGAATTTGCCTTTTAAAACATTTTACCATGAAAATTATTGAGATTAAACCTTAAATGATCTTCAATTGATTATGTTCCTAGTACTATGTGAAGTGTAATCTTGCAGCCTAGGTATGTATGTTTGTATGTATCTATAATAATGTGTGTGTGGTTTGTGTACGTGTGTGAGAGAGAATAGAGAAACTAAGAGAGAGAGAGATTTGTTAATGGGAGTTTTCAAGTCAGACTGTCCATTTTAAACTGAAGTCCATATATGAACATCAGCACTTAAATTTTTGAATTCACCTGTATTTAATGCATGTTGCATCTTTCTGTATAACCTTTGCACTCCAGCTTTTGCTGTTTCTATCTTCTGCTTTTATTCTATAGCTACCTTAATGTAGTTTACACATACATTTTGTATCTGAACTTATTCCTAAGTAAATAAACTCTGTTCTTAATTGTTTAACTTCTTATTTTATTTTTCTCATCTGAAAAGTATTTTATGTGCATAAACTAATCTCATTCTTCCATTCTGTAGTACCAAATGCATCTGAGTCATCCGTTTATACACACAGTAAATAAACATGGCACTCCTCTGCCTATTACAACTTCCCCTTTCATTTGAATGATGCAGCTGAGTTCTGGATTTAAGGCATTTGCACTATTACAAGCAAAGCAAACTTTGTTATCTCTTCACACCCTCCCAGTATTAACAGCCCAACCTCTGCAATTTTGTCCCCCTTTTCAGCTGCTGCTAAAAGTTTTTTAAGAAAAAGTTTTAACTTCTTTCTTCCTGCATCACAGTAACTATTTTGTTCTTCTGTCTTTCGTAACAATAGAGGGTGGACTTCAGGCTTGCCAGATATGCTTTCTTTTTCACCAGAACCCCAAGGTTCACCTACAAGAGCCAAACATGGAATTTGCACTGATCCAGTTTTCTATTACAGTGGACCCTCTACTTACAGAATTAATCCGTATTGGAACGGTGGCTGCAGGTCGAAAAGTCTGTAGGTCGAGGCTCCATTGACCTACAATGCATTGAAAACCGATTAATCCGTAACCATCCGTTTTTGTTCCGTTTTGGTTTTTTTCTGGTCTGTAGGTTGATTCTCCAGCTGCAAGTCAAATCTAAATTTTGCAGCCAGAGAAGTCTGTAACTCGAAAAGTCTGTAAGTCGAACCATCTGTAAGTCGAGGATCCACTGTACACCCCATAGTCTATACATTGCATACATGAATATGAATCAACATATGATTTACTACATATACTGTAAGGGATTCTAAAAGCTTTATGTAGACATCAAAATTTCAGTTGTTCATCAACTGGGAGTTAGAAATCTTTGCCAGTCTTCTGCAAATCACTCAGAGGCCTAACAGCAAAATCCAAATCTGTCTTCTGCTTTACAGAAACCTGTTCTATAAAATAAAATATGTTCAAAAAGTTAGAAAAGTTGGATCTCTACCCTTACTGGGTACTTCTAACAATGTGAGAACTGAGACTATGGCTTTTTATAAAGGTGAACATGTGCCCTCGCTGAAGGATACAAGGATACAACATGTGCAGAAAGTGGCTATGTTAAGGCCACTATTTTTAAGACACTCTCCTTATTTTTTAAGGTACCCTCAATCTGAAGAATTGACTGACAGTATCTTGTCTTCTATTCTTAGCTAGATTAGTGTCTTTGTTGATACAGGTTTCTTCCATGGCAACCAAACCAATTTTAGTTCCAAACCTGGCCTAAAGCAGGATCACAATGACTTAAGATAATATTTTTTTTCCATAGAAACAGATTAAATTGATATATTCCAATCTGGTGTCAGAGGTTTGGTTTCCCAGATATAGAAACTGCACTTAAGCAAGGACAAGGTGAATGAGATCACATTGCTTTTCCTGGACCTCTGAGCAGCCTTTGATTTTACTGGCCATTGCATTCTTCTTGCAAGATTAGGGGTTGAGAGTAAAACACACTGATTGATCTTTTTGGAAAGTTATAGAAGGTAATACTGAGACACTGTTATTCCTCTGTTTGAGAGCTTACTTGTGGGATGTCTCAGGAGTCCATGCTGTCTCTTAGGCTGCTGTTCATCTAATGAATGGGGGTCATTCAAAGTACATTCATCAGTACATAGATGTTCACCTCTGATTCTCCTATCTGAAACAACTGGTACAAGCCTGGGGTCAGTAAGGGATTCAGTCCAGACAAAAACACATTTTTTGCAATAGACATTCTAATGATGTAAATGGATACCTTGGCTGAGGTCACAAGGAAAATGCTTAGGTTTCCAGCTGCCAAGTTTTCTCCTGAGGGCCGGAAGTATGTTCCAACAATTTTGGGTGATGTGTCACTATACCTTTCTATTAAATGTTTTCTAAACATTGTGCTACATGCTCTTATAACTTCTGAACTTAACTATTGCAAAGTGTAACCAGAAAGTAGTAAACAGAGAGTTTTACATAGAAATGTAATAAAGAAGCTCAAGATGAAATCCAGAAAGCCCACATCACCATATACAAAAAAAGAAAAAGAGAGAAAAAAAGAAGCAATATGACTGGCAAGAGAACTGCAGTGGTGAAAAGCATGATCTGTGCTATGTTGAT